CTTCTCTGCTCGCTGACCAGTGTCGCCCTCGACGAGGTGCAACTTCATCCAGGAAATTACTACGATCGTCCCGGGGAAACTTTCCCCTCTCAACAAGATCTTGACTTGAGAAAAACTCGATTTGGAGGGGGGGGGGGGATTTCAATCGAATCTGCGATTTATTTACAGCAGTTGTAAGTAAGAAACTGTAACTTGCAACTTCGTGAAAAAAAAAAAATCGTACAACTTGGATTCATTTTTTTTTTTTTTTTTCAAAGTCTTTCACGATACCGAGTTTTCTGTTTTTTCTTTTTTTTTTTCGTTTTTCTCCTCCTAAACGAAATATTTTTACGTCGTTGAAGCGAACAAAGATGGCGTCTCTCTTGGAAATCTTGCAAGTTGTCGAAGTTTGGAGATTTTCTTCGTATCTAAATTTATAATAAATCGTGAGTTAGAAAGTTGGATCGTTCTTGAAGTATTTAAAAATATTACAGAAAAAAGAGAAAAATTATTGACTACTCTAAATATTCATAAACGATTATAATTCCTTCAGTCTTCGCCAGATTCCACAGAGAAACAACAACGAGGTGTTAATCTCTGTTAATTAATCGTTGTTAATGTGAATGAATTGGGATATTTGCGAATTAAAATCCTGCTTATCGCAGGAATTGGGATGTAATCGCTCGAGTCGATCGCCGATATCGATTAAAACGCGTTCCTCCTGGTCTCGTTCACGTTCTCTGCAGGTCCGACGAGTTTGCTCGCGATTAATCACGTTTCGTTCGTGTTTCTCGGGCGTTCAGCTCTTTTTCAAAGAAAGTGAGAGTGAGCCGGATAGGGAGAGTGATAAAACAGGTGTCGTCTTTTTGCTTTTGGAAAACGTCCAGATCGAAGGTTAATAAACTAAATTTCTCGTCGTAGTTAATTACATACGGGGCTGAAAGTGATTGCGTGAAAGTTCCAACCATTTTACATGCTAGGTCGTGTAAAACGTCGGATTCTTACGTGGAAAGTTCATTCTTCAAAGTACACAGAACTAGGTACCATTCGCAATTTGGACGAATAATTTTTTCAAATTCTGAATAAAAAATTAAATAGAAAAAAAAAAAAATAGAAAAATAAAGAAAAAGAGTTTTCGAAGAAGTTTTGATT